TACCTTGAATTTGCTGGTCGGTTTAATTTGGATGCAGGTAAAAAGAGGACAAACACTAAATTTCAAAAAAAAAAGCAGAAACAATGCCTTCATTTATGACGAGACCCATCCCGTTCAAGCTCTTTGCTCCTTGGGGAGAGGCGGAATGCCCCTCCCAGCAGAGTCCCAGAGTCCTCCAGCAAGGGCTGTGCATTGCCTCCCCCTCTACTCCCCCCCCCCAAAGCTGCAGTCCTTGTTTGTGAGATTTCGCCTTCCACTAGGCTCAAAGGAGAACCCATGCTGTTGACCCATGGGGCAGAAAGGCCGGCCCTGCTGTGCGTCCGTTACAAGACTCTGCAGGGCTGGGAGGGGAGAACTTGGCAGAACTGCTCTGCCCTCCCCCCCCCCCCGCCCCAAGCTGTCAATGGTTGATCTCTTAAGTTTGGCTCACACCCGTGAATCAAAAGTTTATCGAGCAGATAACTGGGTGCCTGTGAGAAATGCCTTTCTTGGTCCATCAGCTGAGCAGGGAACTGGGCCAGAGGTTGGCCCTCACTGCCCCCTGGGCGGGGGGGGGGGAACGACACACACACTCCCTTGGCCTGCTGTTCACAAGGCTCCTCTTGTCCTCCCCCCCCCCTCCTGCTTTGGACAGCCTGGAGGAGTGAGAGAATGCAGGAAAGGAAGCTGAAGGGCTTTTCGGCTTTTCTTTCCCAAGTTGCCTCCTTCCTGTTCATGGGCAAACAACCTCCCTTTTTGCCAAGAAGGTTGGCATTTCTGAGGAAAGGCTGGAATTATGGAACAGAGTTATAAGCTGCCCCTCTCAACCCTGTTTCTCTTCTCTTGGTCTTGCACAGCCCATGGCTCCCAAAATCTGGGGGGGAAGGGAGGGGGGGTGCTAGGGATGCACTGCACCCCCTAAAAATACTCTCTATGGGCCCCTTTGCTTCCCCTTTGGACTGCGTCCTGCTTGGTCAGCCAAAGGGGCAGCCTAGTCTGTCCCCTATTCCCTTCGTTGTAGGATGACCTAATCTCCCCCCCCCCCCAAATCAGAACCGCCTTTGTGTTCAACCTGGCCCTGGGAAGGAGAGCAAAAGTGCTTCTCACCGAAATGGGAGAAGGGGGGGGCAGGGAGGTTCAGAGCAGGGATGGGGGGGGGGATTTATTTCCAGGCGCGCAGCTCCTTCTGGGCAGAAACGCGGCGCCCTTCGACACCGAGGACGCCTTTTGAAGGACGCCGAGCGTGGCCGGGGAAAGCAGCTGTTTCACCCACGCGCGCACCCAGAAGCCGGGTGAGTGGACGTGGGGGCTCTGGCACATGCCGGCTTCCCGGTGTCACAGCCCCCTCGGGAGGGAAAGGGTGCCTTCCTTTGTTCTAGAGCCCCCTCCCTCCCACCTCCTCCTTCACACGCGTTGCCCCATCCCGTGGTGCTGACGTTTCCTTCGGATTAAGCCGCCTTTTCCTGCGGGGTTCGGCGCCCAGGCCGCACCTTTCCGACTTCCACGGCCGGCTCTACTGAAGGTGGAGAATTCCGCGCGTGGAAACGGCCCTGCCAAGCCGCCCCCCGCCTGCAAAGTTCCTCTGGAGAACACGTGTGCGCCGTGATCGGAACTAGATCCCAGAGCCGGACCGATGGGTGGCTGCCCTCTCCCACGCGCGGAACCGCGTTGTCCGGCCAAGAGCGCTGCCCAGCGGCCCTTCGGCTTTACCTCGCCCCAGAGCCCACCCTGCCTTCCTAGAAACGCCGGGCACAACCTGGCACCCTCCCCCCGCAGCCTGCCCGTCTCTCGGATGGGGCCCCTTTCCGCGCGCACTGCGCCAGGTGCGCTCCCGTCTCGCGCCCACCTTTCCAGCAGCGGCTCCTCCGGAGCGCGGGGTCTCCGAGGCCGGGACCAGCCGAGCGCGCCGCAGCCGAGAGCGCCCGCCTCTGATCGCAGCCCCGCGACGCCCCCCCGCGCCAAGCGCATCCAGGCGGGGCAGAGGCAGCGGTGGGACAGTGGTGGGCGAGGGTCGGGGGTCCTGCTGGGGCGAGGGGGGCAGCCTGGCCGGAGAACGCCGCTTCCGCGCTGCCCTGGCCCCCTTGCGCGGCGGCTCTTCGCTCTCCTCGCCGCCCCCTCGACCCGGCCGCTTTTATTCGCGGGCAGCCTCGGCAGGCCCTCCCACGGCTGGTTGACGACACGCGCCTCGCCTCCTCCCCCTCCCTCCCTCCCTCCCTCCTCCGGCAGCTCAACCCAGCCGCCGCCGCCCTTCCCCTTCCACGGGCCGCGCGAGAGGGGAGCCCCCTCGGCCCAACAGCTGCGCCTCCTCCTTCCTTAGCTCGGAGCATCCCCACCCGGACCAGAAGGGACTGTGGTGTGCGGGGGCGAGGACAGGCTGGAATCCGCGCAAAGCTAGCGGTGCATTCCCGGGGGAGGCCACGGCTCCCACGCGGAGAGCCTCGGGCGCCCCCCCGGGACCTAGCCGCGCCTCCGCGTGGCCAGCGCAAGGAAAGAAGAGCCCGGGGTGTCAGCAGCGCTTCGAATCTGCGAGGCGGGCGTTGGACGCGGATCCCCGTGGATCGCGGACAAGCGTGGGTTGTGAGCCTCGGACAAAGAGCGGCGCATGCGCTGAAACCTAGGCACCCTTTGAATGGGTGGACTGCGGGCTCCGAGCTCCGTTTTCAGGTGCTCAGCGGTAACTGGCCGTGAGAAAGCCACCGGCCAGCACCAGGGCTGCCGCGGCTTGGAACCGTCTCTGTCTCTCTCTCTCTCTGCATCGTAGCCTTTTTGCCACGGGGCTCCCTCGGCCTCTGAAGACCCCCAGCATGGGCGCCTCCCCCCTTCCCTCCCGGTCAGCAGCAGCTGCTTGGCCTGCCTCCCTTTGAAGGACCCCCTTGAGTCTGGAAGAAGCCCCCTCTCTCAACCCCCCTTTTCTCTCGGGGACAGAGAGCGCTTCTGCTTCAGGGATATTTCGCTTTTAGCAGAAATCCCAGAATCTTCAGGCTGACTCGGTCCCTGTTTTATCATTCCTTCAAAGACCGGGATGGCTTCCGATCCTATCCTGTGTGCCGTAACTCTGGGTGTCTCACACCAGCTGTGATGAAAACAAAGGAATCAGCATCCGCAACACAACACTTATAAAGCCCTTCATGGTATTGGACCTGGGTACTTGAGAGACCGCCTGCTGCCAATTACCTCCACTAGACCGATCAGATCCCACAGATTAGGCCTCCTCCACATTCCATCCACCGGCCAGTGTCGACTGGCGACTATTCGGAGGAGAGCCTTCTCTGTGGCTG